CCAGTGGGCAGCTGAGGCAAGTAGGTTACCCTTGGTCCGCTGCCGTTCTGTTTCTTGGGCGTTTGACTGACGGATGCTGCTGCTGCGGCGTTACCGCCGCCAGCTCGAGCAATAGAGACACCGCGAGTTTTGCTGGTCGAGGGTGCATGAGCCACAAAGGCTTGTAGCAGGGCAATCTGGGGGAAATGAGACATTCGGAATGATTCAGTACCGTAACGTAGTTTAATACACATTTAACTACCTAGTTCTTTGCAGTAAGCGTGTTTTCTTGTGTAGGTATTTCGCATGTACCAACCCATTGCACTCCCCACATGGAAATCTTTAGCGTCCTGCAGGTACTTTTATTTTTATTAGTATTGGTTTAGTTTAGCCATTTTTTATTCCAGTTCCGTTTAGTTTTATTTTAGTTTTTAGTTTATCAATTAGGTTTATTAGTTTTCGATTTATTTAGTTTGCTTTAGTTTACCTTATCTTAGTAAAGTTACTTCAATTTTTTTAGCAACATGCGGTTTCTTTTCGGTTTAAAAATGGGAATAAAGCCTTTCTTTTATGGTTTTCGGTTTCGGTTGCGCAGTTTTCGTTTCTTATTGGGTGTATTCATCATTTGATTATCGCGCGCTTTATTTGTTGCGGAACATGAGGTTATTTAAATAAATGTTTCCATCATTTTTTACTTTTTAATTCCTTTTACCTCCCCCCGATGTGCCCCACCCATATAACCATATAATAACATTAGACAAACGTGATTTTGTTGTCACTATGTTGATGTGTACACTGAATCCTTATCTGACATACAAATGAATCGCAAGAGTACTAACGCGTTCCGGTTTAGAAACTTGGTCGTATTATGTCCTGCTATACTTGTATCACTGAACGGGTCGTTTGTGTAACAATCTATTACGTGTAACACTGCAGAAACCAAAAACACCCAGAATTGCCCCATACGGGACCGGTTGTAATAGCAGTTGAATAGTTGGGGCATTACGGGGAGCAGAAAATAAAATGAAAAAGTATAGCAAACAAAAACAGGAAATAGTAGATCGATAAACCTCGAATGGCCACGATTATTTGAGTGATATATGCATGGTAGTACATAAAATAGATTGCTACAACCGTGTGGTACATGCTCTGGACCAACGCCGGGGCTATATCAGGGCATGATAGGCTTACTCGGGTCGTGCTCCCATACAGCATGCGTAACATGGGCGGGGCGGGCTTTGGTGGCACGCATATATGCAGGCTCACGCTGCACCCCCTATCTTGGACTTTTATGGCTCTTCCACTCCGTGGAATCTAAGACAGGCGTCGTTATGGCAGCTCCAAGCACGCCTGCTACCCGTACCCGATCCCATGCTCCAGTCTTCTTACTTCTGTTTTAAAACCGGGCTCAGGCAGGTGAAGGGAGAGCTAGTGTGGTAGCTGCAGTCCCAAAGGATTACCAAATTGGCATCAGGACTCGGACCAGACCATCTTGCACGGACGTTGCACAAGTTGACGAAATTTCATCGACTGCTAACGGAACTCACTCGTCTCACTCTGTCTTAAGCTCATTCTCGAGCCCCTTCAGCAACCGCACAGCGGCTAGTAGTCTAGGCAGTCAAGGCCCAAGAATGGGACCAAAGGCAGAGCTGGACGAGTGAGTTCCTTAAGCGATCGGTGAACGTTCACCAGTGGGTTTCAGTGATTATTTTCTCAACGCAAACTACACAAGGCAGACCTGTCTATCCTGCCTGCAAGTGTGTCTGGTGGTCATATGGTGGATTCTAGATAGCTCGCATAAGAAATCCTGCCTAGGCAGTCCATCTACTATATGGAAATCGATGGATTTCACACGTTGCAGTAAGCTGGGTGGATAAGTTGACCCCACTGTGTCTAAATTCACGGCTCCAGGTGGGACCTCGTAGCTCAGGTGGCTAGAGCGTAGGCTCTACTGGGGTGATATCTCACAGTGACCGTCCATTTTTTTCACAAAAAGCGGGACAGTTAGCTACCCCTACAACAATTATTCGCTCAAAAGGCAATAAGCCATAGTGTTTTC